AGGGGGCTAGCAGCAGCCCCGTGCCTGCCCACTGGCCGTCAGAGGGGCCGCCTGGCCACTATCTCACCTGGCAGACTGCTCCCGGTGCTGCCACCTAGCCCCGCGCCCGTGTCCTCCGGCTCCTCCACCATGGTGTCCGTCACAATGGGTAAGGGACATTTCCCTCCCCGCGAGCACACCCTGTTGCCCTCCCCTCCACCACCCAAAGTCGACCTAAATTGCTCTAAGACCCCTCAAATTGTGTATTTTCATCCAGGAGACCATCCCCACCCCCCCTCCCTGCTGCCATCCCAGGAGCTGTTTTCCTCCTGATCCCGTTAATCGTGTGACAACAGCTGCCAATGCCCAGAATAAGCCTCGTGTCCAGCGCCTGCCAAAACCCAAGCGACCGCCCCACCCCTTTTTCCATGTCCACTTAATTTTTCTTTTCTGCGGCTTTTTTTCAGCGACATCTGAATGGATTCAGTTTTTCAAGGAAGCTGGGATCCCCCCGGGCCCCGCCGTCAACTATGCCGTCATGTTTGTGGATAACAGGTGAGGTCAGCAATGAGGCTGCGACTTTTCATTGCATCATGGGGGGAAAATAGCACCGAAAAATTCCCCTGGTGAGAGGGAAGGAAGGAATTAACCAAGTATCCCGCTCCTTAATTAGTTACGTTAGTTATTCATCTGCGCTGAGCTGCTTTTTCATTTTCAGTACTGTTTCTATGAGGGCGGTAGCATCCAAACCCAGGTTGGGGATATCATGGCGCACCTTGCTCAAGGCTTAATTAGTCAGAGCTCATAATGAGGGGAGATCGTGTTAGGCTGGGTCTTTCCTCACCTTAGGATCCAGAAGAACATGTTGATGGATCTCAACAAGGAGATCATGAATGAGCTGGGCATCACAGTGGTGGGAGACATCATCGCCATCCTCAAACACGCCAAAATTGTGTACAGGCAGGTACGGTAAAGCCTCGCCAGCACAGGTAAAGCCTCGCCGGCTCATTTAGCAAAGTTTTGCCTTGTGGCTCCTTGTTCACCTCCAAAGAGCCCGAGGGAAAACCCTCCTCCGTGGTTTTTTCCTTCAGGAGATGTGCAAGGCGGCCACTGAATCGCTCTGCCCCGGCTCTCCCAGCGTTCAAGCTGAGCTGCGCCGCAATGCCAATAGTGGTGAGCACGGGTGGGAGGTTTCTGGGAGATTAAATCCCCTCACCTGATTTACAAGGTGAATTAATTATCTTGAAAATGAAGGGCTCAAACAATGGCTGCCTTCCCCGCGATCCTGGGGAAGGACCTCTCTTTAATGTAGCTGATAAGACAGACGCTTGTTGCACTCGCCGAAGCCTCTCGGGGCTCAAAACCTCTCCCTCACCACACCATCCTCCCCTTCCAGCCGCCAGCCGGATGATTGCTAACAGCTTGAGCAGAGACTCACCTCCCACCACCCCCCTCCGACAACGGCCCCACACCTCCAAAATCTCCGTCACCGTTTCCAACAAACTGGCCGCTGCGAAGGCAGGTAGGGAGGGCAACGGATCCTGGCGGAAACAACACCAAAAGTTGCTTTGTCCTTCTTATTTCCCATTAAACATGTCCTCCCCCATCCAGCTCAAGCAATTCTGTGATTTTGTGGTTGGGACTAGCTAGAGACAGGGGGCAGAGCTTGTTTGCAGAGCACCAGCACTACGGGAGATGTGTTGGTGCTGAAGTAGCCAGTCTCGGAGCTCACTCGAGCCCGGGATTGTGCCCAAGCACTCGTAAAACCCATCCACCCGCTAAGTCTTGTTGGAACAAGAGCTCTCGATTTGCTCTTCCTTCGTCCCACCAGGTTTATGCGATGCAGCAGATGAAAATCCAACGATCCCGGTAAAACGCCGCCGGGTGACAGCGGAAATGGAAGGGAAATACATCATCAACATGCCCAAGGGCACCACGCCAAGGACAAAGAAAATCCTGGAGCAGCAAGCAGCCAAAGGTACCAGCGGGGGGTTTTGATCTTCATTTTCTCTTCCAGAAGCCAAGTTTAGTCCTAATTTAGCCCATCATTACAAATCCCACGAGGATTTTCATATCCAGAGAGTTATCAGGTAGAAGTTGTGTTATTCCAAGGGTATATTAACTCACCATGAGCCGTAAAGGTTCTGCTCACACCTATTTAAGTCTTAGGAAGAAGGGGGCGGATCGCCGTTTGCACGCTTTTATCGAGTGGATTTTATTTTGCCAGGTGCCCTGACAGTAGGACAGGGCTGAAAAGCCACAAGCCCTCAGCGTTGACCCAGCGTAGCTTCATTTTCTGGGGAAACCTCCAAAAAACCATGTTTTCTTGAAAACCGCAGGTCTGCAGAGGACATCTGTCTTCGACCGGCTGGGAGCCGAGGCAAAAGCAGATACGACCACAGGAGGGAAGGTAAGCGGACGCGGGTTTTCGGCTGCAGCTCCATTTAGCTATCATTGTGCCAAACCCCACCGAGATCCCGACATGAGGGTCCTCTCCCCAAAGATTATTTCAGGATTCGCAGCTGCTCGCTCACTACAGAGGGGCTGAAGGAACCTTGAAAGAACAGGAAAATGGTGGGGAAACACTGGGGAAAGGCAGGATGGAGCCACCAAAGGCAGGCGGATCCCCAATCCCTGCGTGATCCCTGTCTGCGCTTCTATTTTGACCCCTTTAATGGGGGAAACAGGAGGTTTTTTCTCTTCTCTGGAGGTAAAAACTTCAGCATGGAAGTCTTGGGGTGTAAAACAAGTTGCAGACTCAGCTCCTCAAGAAAAATAGGAGGCAATATGATTTTATGGGTGATTTATAGAGCTGTTTTATAGCCCCATCGTTAATTTAATTACTGTAGACCGCGTTTTGCATCATTATGTTCTGAAACGCTTCGCGGGTGAGGCCAGCGTCCATCTTGCCTCCGTCACGGTGGCAGAATTCGGGGGGGGTGAAGCGGAAGGGGGCTAAATCGAGCACCCAAAATGGGGGTGCGGGTGCTGACGGTCTCTTGTCTCCCAGCCCACGGGAGTCTTCAGCAGACTGGGTGATGCCTTGGGGACCGATGGGGACAAAGCCACCGAGAGCGACGACGACTGCTCTGTCCTCCAGTATGCCGGCGTCCTAAAAAAACTCGCCAAACCTCCCCGTAAGGAAAGCATTGAGGCAGGAGGGACCATCAAGGCGAAAGCCACCAGTTCAGAAGCCAAACCAGGCACCGTCACTGCTGCCATCCAGCGGCTTGGTCACAGGAACGCCGCCGGTATCCGTATGGCAGCGAAACCGCAACCAGCGGCATCCAAAATCGGCGTCATCAGTATTGCCACAGCGCCGGTCGAAGCCCAGGATGGTGACGTCACCAGCACGAAGGATAAAAGCGAACCCGGATTTCGGGTGACGATCAAAAGGACATGGGGGTGTGGGAAGGTGAGCAGCACCAGCGAGACCCCTGGCGCTCAGATGGACAGCGCCGGCACCGTTAGCGTCTTTAAACGGCTGGGGAAGAAACCGGATTGATCCCGCGGCACTTCTTTCCACACTGGACGGGTCATCCCAACGGTTTTCCACTTGTCCCATCCCCTCCCGACAGTCGCCCATTGTCCCCCATCCCGTTTATTTACCCTCAAGAACCGGCAGAGTCTCCTCCTGCCTTCTGCTTCACTCATCCCATGGGGAAACAACACTAGTCCCATGGGGAGAGGCTTAATGCCACAGGGAAACGCTACTCCCACGGGAAAACAGTGGAGGGAAGAGGGGAAAAGCCCTTCCCTGCCTGCCCCTGCCCGCAAAGCTGGCAGGCATGAGGCCAAATCGTTGCTCTCCATCTCCTACCAGCACCAAAACCTCTTTTCCCCCACCGTTTTTCCCTCTTCTGCAGGTTCCTTCCTGTATTTAGGAATTCAGACCTGAAGAGCTCCATGCAGAGGGGTTTTTCCCCTATTTTTTCCGGGTTTTTCCCCTTCTGCAGGTTTTTTTTTCTGTATTTAGGAATTTGCACCAAAATGACTCCATAAATAATCCTTATGGAGTGGCAGCTTGCTGCAGGGGTTCTTAATTTTTAAGGATTTCAGAGCAGCCTCCAAAAAAAAAAAAAACAACCTAAAAGCTTAAAAAAAAACCTCCTTGGGCACTCAAAAATTCCCCAAATTGCCTTAATTTAAGCAACACCTTCAATCTGCCGCTTGCAGTTTTAAGCTCGAGCTCGTCCCGCTGCGAAACCTGAACTGGCCCCTGTAGGGTTTTATTGAACTTATTTATTCCCCCCTCCCCAAATTTCTTTCCCCCCAAATTTATTTCCGATGACATCACCAGGGCTGTCATCACACCATGCCTGTCTGGCATTGCTGCAAACCCCAAAAAGACGTTTTTTCTCCCCAAAATAAAGACAACGGGTGGAGGCAGCTGCATGGTGTGTCTGAGCCATAACAGTGAGTCTTTTTAACAAGAAAAACCACTAATTATTTTACCCTATTTTGGAAGGTTTTCTTTGTGCTTTGGGTGTTGTTTGGTGTGTAAAAACGAGTGGTTTTTTTTCCAATTTTTGGCTTTCTCTGTCGCCCGCCAGCTGCGGGGGAGCTTTTTGCAATAAAGCGTGGGAATGGCTCTGTTTGGTGTCGGTCGAGCCCCCCAGCCTGCGGCCGGGACCCTCCACAACCGCCCCAGGCTGCTGAGACTGGAGCAGCTCGGGGAACCCACGGGCGGGAGGCGGGGGGGCT